GTTATTCTAAGAACATTTTTTTTTTTTAAATTTACTTATTTATTATGTATACAGTATTCTGCCTGCATGTGTCCCTGCAGGCCAGAAGAGGGCAACAAATCTCATTACAAGTGGTTGTGAGCCACCATGTGGGTGCTGGGAATTGAACTCAGGTCCTCTGGAAGAGCAGCCGGTGCTCTTAGCCACTGAGCCACCTCTCCAGCCCCCTCTAAGAACGTTTGATACAATTCTTCATTAACTCTAAGAATGTACGAGCTGCCAGCCCCGTTTTACATGGAAGGAAAATAAAGCACAGGTAGGTCAGTTTTCCACACTCACATAGTCCATCAGAGGTGGAGCTCACACTTCAGCACTAGATCTTCACTTGGGGCTTTTTCATTCTTTCAAGCCATTTTTTTAATAAAGTAAGAATTTAATAAAGTAAGAATTTAATAATAATAACATTTATTTTAAAGATGTATTTATTTATTATGTATACAGTGTTCTTCCCACATGCCAGAAGAGGGTACCAGATCTCATTATAGATGGTTGTGAGCCACCATGTGGTTGCTGGGAATTGAACTCAGGACCTTTGGAAGAGCAGCCGGTGCTCTTAACCGCTGAGCCCTCTCTCCAGCCCCTAAAGATATTTTAATACAGGTTTTAAGCATGGGAGTTAAAAGAAAGAAAAATTTCTAAAGAAAATTAAGATACACCAGGAACCTGGATGTGGTCTTCTCTGAGAGTCATTCTTTTAAATCTTCAGTCAGGTGTAGTATACTGCACATCCTAAAATCCTAGTACTGGGTAGGCAGAGGCGGGCAGATTACTTGTGAGTTCAAGGCCTACCTGGACTACATAGCAAATCTGAGGCCAGCAAGGGCTACAAAGTAGGCCCAGTTTCAACATAAAACAATTCTTTAGCATATTTTTTCATGAGATAATAAATATTAAAGTCACTCATACCGATTTTTTCCCTAGAATCATACCTATCTTGCAGATAATTTTAATCATATACTGTAAGAAGCCTAAATTCTAAACATTTCAAAAATCAGAAATTTTCTTCATAATAAGACTGAAAATAATGTTTCTTTTTATTTTCTTCATATTCTTGAGATTTTTCTGTATAAACTGTTATTACTTTTGTATTTTATAATTGAAATACCATTTCAAGAGTATAGCTACATGAAGCCCCAGAACTTAGTGGTTTTTTAAGGAATGGGGAGTCCATTTGGGCTCATAGTCTCGGGGTCCTCGCTGCCATGCTGCCTCTCTCCATTGTTCCCGGCTTCGGCGAGGCAGGACTGACGTCATGACAGTAGGGACATGAGGCACAGCTGCTGACCTGCCCATTCAGCAACGAGGACCTAGACTACTATTTTGTTTGTTCCTTTGTGTGGATCCAGGAGACAGGTTTTTTTTTAATATTAAAACGATTTGCACTACTGTATGAGGAACACATTTTTATATACATCTTAATTAAGATTTTGTCTTATTTAAAACTGATGATTGAACCTCAGGTTTATGTATGTTAGGCAAGTGCTTTACAATGAGCTGTACCGTCAGCCCTCATTTTACTATTTCATTTTAAGACACGGTCTCATTAAGTTGGTCGGGCTGGCCTTGAACTTATAATCCTCTTGTCTCAACCTCTCAAGTGATTAGCACTACAGGCCCACCAAACCTAGAAATAAAGAGTTTTGCTTGTACCCCGGTGTGGTGCACACCTTTAATCACAGCATTATAGAGGCAAAGGCAGGCAGATTTCTCTAAGCCAGAGGCCAGCCAGAGATACATAATGAGATCCTGTCTCAAAAGACAAAAAAGATGTTTGCTTATAATTAAGAGCCTTGGGACAAGGCATGGTATGCACTCCTTTAATCCCAGTATTCATGATGCAGAATCAAGTAGATTTCTGTGAATTCCAGGCCAACCAGGGCTCCCAGTGAGAACCTGTCTCAAAAGGGGGAGGGAGGGACTAAACTGTAGTACAGATATCAGAAATGAATTCATTGGGAATCGGGAGCTATTTTGAAGGGTCAGGAGATATGAAGAGATATCATTTGATTTGTTCATCCCTTGATTTAGTAAGAGCATGTAAACAGGTAACAGCCTTGGGCATTTAGAAAAACAAGTTAAATGGGTGCTTCATTACTTATTTATTACTTCTTAAATTTTTACTTAGGGAAGATGGTTTTATGCTTTGTTGGCTTGTCTTGAAAAACCTTTATTACCTGAGGCTCATTCACTAATTCGACAGCTTGCAAGAAGATGCTCTGAAGTCAGGCTCCTAGTGGTGAGTTATAATGTATATTTCAGATTCTAATTGTCTACTCAAGCCTATGGTGGAAAAGAAGATACCAGTGATATATGAAATAGAAAAGTGTGGGATATGTTATTAGTTGAGATTAAAGAGGCCATTAAAAACAAAAAAGTCTCAAATATAGTAGATTAAATAACATACAGCCAGATATGGTAGCACAAGACTGTTATCCTAGCATCTAGCCAGTAGAAAGGGGAGTATTGCAGTTCAATTCCAGCCTGGGCTATATGGGGGGGGCGGGGGAGGGGGACCAAACATGGTGGTGTGCACCTTTAATCCTAGCACTTAGGAGGCAGAAGCAAGTGGATCTCTGTAAGGCCAACCTAGTCTACAGAGTGACTACATAGTAAGACCCATCTCAAAAAAAGAACATGAAAACAAAGTACAGTGAAGTCTGAAGGTACAGACAAGATCAGAAGTGACTAGAACCCAGAACTTTGGTTCTGATGCTCATAACTTCCATCTTTCTCTTAGTCTGTGTTGCTATAGCAAAATACCTGAAGCTGCTGTTTATTAAGTATGGAGGGGTTGAATCCAGGACCTTGAGTATGCTGGGCAAGCACTCTCCCCAGCCTGAAAAGAAATTGATTTTAGTTCAGTTTTGGAAGCTCAGAGGCCCCATCTGTTCTACCTTCCAACTACACCATGATATACTGGGGAGGGTCACCTAACAGGAGTGTGTTTAGAGCAATCCCTGCCTCATGTTCACTTTGTAACAACTCCTGTTGTAGTGCCCATAAAACTAGGACCCTTGTAAAACAGCACTAATTTTTTTTTTACTCCAAGACAGGGTCTCTCTGTAGGCCTGGCTGTCCTAGAACTCATTCTGTAGGCCAGACTGGCCTCAAACTCAAAAGATCCTCCTGCCTCTGCTTCCTAAGTGCTGGGATTAAAGGCATGTGTTACCACTGCCGCAGCATTAATTATTAATCCTTCTGAACAGCATCTTTCTTTAAATAATGATCTTGGGCTGATGAACTGAGTTTGATATCCTGGGAAACACACACACTATATAGAAGCATAATTAAAAAATAAAATAAAGCTGGGCAGTGGTAACACAATGCCTTTAATCCCAGCATTCAGGATGCAGAGGCAGGCGATCTCTGAGTTCAAGACCAGCCTTGAACAAAGTGAATTCCAGGACAGCCAGGACTTACACAAAGAAACCCTGTCTCAAAAAAAAAAAAAAAAAAACAATAAAATAAAATGAGAGATTGTAGTTGGGACTAATTGGGACTATAACCTACTGATTCCAGTGCTCATCTAGCCACAGCACTGCATATTTCAAGTGTGATAGCCCAAACCTGTCAGCACTGGGGAGGTGGAGGCAGGAGGATCAAGGAGAGCCTGGAGACTACACCGGAATTTTAGGCCCCACTAGGCTACATGAAACCTAAGCCTCAGAATAAAATAAGAGGCCGCTTATAAGTAACTAAGCAATACTGATAGCTGGAGGCCCCCCAACACCAACTGGTCAGCCCAAAAATTGTGTGCATAAGTAACAGTATATGAACTAAGCAGATTATATATACTTGTGTGTGTGTTTGTGTAAAAAAATAAGAAAAAGAGGCCATAATTTTGAGAGAGCAAGATTGGGGTACATGGTTATGATTGCAGGGAGGAAATTTGGGAACAGGGAAAGTAATATGTTTATATTTTTAATTTTATAAATAAAAGATGGGCCAAGTGTAGTGGCACATGCCTTTAATCCTAGTACTCAGGAAGCAAAGCAGGCAGATCTCTGAATATTAGGTCAGTCCAGTCTACATAGGAAGTTCCAGGCCAGCTGGGGGTAAACAGTGAAACCTTACCTCAAAGATAAATAAATAAATAAGTATTCTAGTGTGTTCAGGAAATACTTAACTTCAGTTTTCATCTGTCTGTCCATTCTGGGAACAAGGCTGACCTTAAATTCATCGAGCTCCCCCTGCTTCTGCCTCCTGATCTCTGATATCTAAGGCACGAGTCAAACACCATCGTATTGACTGTTTATTCCATATGGTGATGACTGTCACCTAATACAATGTTCACATTTTCATCTTAAAAGGAAATTTATTATGAAAATATTTGAGGGAAAAACCTGTACTTTTTCTGTTTTTCAGAGTAGTAAAGATGATGAAAGAGTTCCTGCTTTGAATTTGCTGATCTGCTTAGTTAGCAGGTAAATTAACCCGATTCCTGATTGTTATCAGTATGAGGTAGAACGAGCTTAACGCTTCATTCATTTTCAGGTGCTGTATATTTTTATCTAGTATGTTTCATTTTTCCTTTTCTTTTTTTATCAGTACAGGGTATAGAACCCAGTGCCTTTACATGTCAGGCAAGGGTCTACCAACTAAGCTGCATCTCCATTCCTTGTTTGATTTAGTACGTTATATCAGGGTTTCACCTGAATTTATTTGAGAATATATTCTAAATCCAAACAAAAGACACACATTTATTTTAGGTCTCTTCCTGGATATGTTTTTGCTCATTGATGAGTGGCTGTTATTGTTTGTTTGTTTGCTTTCTCTTGGTTTTGCTAGCACCTTCCTAAAGCCTCATAATATGTTCATCTACATAACCCAAGTCACCCGCTTCCCCAAACAAGATGTGTTCTGAAAATACATACTGAACATCTAGGTTTTTTTTTTTTTTGGTTGAGTTTTTTGTTTGTTTTTTGAGGCGGGGTTTCTCTGTCTAGCTAGTTCTGGCTGTATAGAACTCGCTGTATAGACCAGGCTGGCCTCCAACTGAGAGACCCATCTGCTTCTGCCTCCCAAGTCCTGGGATTAAAAGCGTGTACCCCCACTGCCTGGCTCATCTAGTTTCTTGATCTATTAATTATGCTGTTTATTTTATTAGAGATGAGGAAACTGGCAGAAAGATGGAAAGTGACTTTCCTACTTCCTGAACATCACAGGAGTAGTGTATAGTAGAGACCGGATCCAAACGCAGGCCGCTTTACTCAGGAACTCAGCATCCCCCAACCCCCATGTGTATGGGTTTTCTCCCATTGGGTAGACGTGCTGTAGTCGAGTCTCTTTACTATAGAGGTGTGAGCTTTTGCTGCTACAGCTAGTACTGTACTTGATATGAATGCATACACTGAATTCTTTTTCTTACTAGGTATTTTGACCAGCGTGATTTAGCTGATGAGCCGTCTTGATAGAGCTTATCTCCTGGGGATGGAAGGTAGTTCTTTGAAGGCAGCCTGAGTCTGAGGAAGCACAATGCCAATTTGAGGACAAAGTGCAGCACTTCTTCAACTCTATGTGAAGTGTTTCATCTTAATCTGCAGCTCAAGTTGATATTCAAAATAAAGACAGTACTGGTTTGAGTATCTGCAATACCTAAGGAAAAGTCCACGGGGTAGCTGAACAGTTGGAATAGTTTCTTCAGTCATGTGCATTGAAAATAGATGAAATGTGACTTATTACTTAAGCAGCTTGCATAAAAACTGATGAAATTTTATACAGGTCCCTGGTGCTGTTTCATTGTTTTGTTTACAAATATACATACATATTTATGTTGAAATGTATTTTGGCTACTCAAATTTCATTTGACTTTTGAACAAAATAAAAGACAGTGGATGTCCTTAGTATTATACTTCATATAGATGAAATGGCAAATCTGTTCATAGTCAACAAAACTAACCAGATGTTCAGGTTTAAACTCAGTCGTTTAATTGCACCACCAGATCTCTTTTTAGCAAATCATTTTCAGTAATGACCTAATAAGCTGTGCATGGTACAGCTTGTAATCCCAGCATTTGGAGGTTCTAAGCCAGTTTGGGCTACATAATAAGATTCTACCACAAAAAAAAAACCAAGGGACTGGAGATGGCTAAATGGTTAAGAGCACTTACTGCTCTTGCAGAGGACTTGGGTTCAGTTCCCAGAACCTACGTAGCAGATGTCAACTGTGACATCAGTTCCATAGGATCTTACACGCTCTTCTGCCCTCCAGGTACCAGGTATACACACTGGTATACATAAAGGCAAAACACTTCTATACATCAAAAAGAAGTCTTCAAAATAAAGTCTAAAAACAAGAAGAGATACCACAGCTGGATTTAAAGCTTCACATTGTCTTGATTTGTTTGGGAGAGGAGGATGCACTAAGGACTGGTGATATCCAGACAAAGTGTCAGTTACTGTTTGTTTTAATTTCCACAGCTAGTAGCACAGTTATATATGCTACTCTATGTAGCCCAAGATGGCCTTAAACTTGTGTGCCTCAGTTTCCCAGAAACTGTAATGACAGTCATGAGCCACCATACCTGGTTTAGCTAGAAGATTGTGAACAAAAGTGAGAAACCATTTATATAATGATTTAATTTGGTGTAAGGATATTTTGGGTGCTGGAGACAAACAGAAGTAAACATTTTAAACCACAGGACTTTTACACAATAACCCCATTGTTTCTTTAGGACTCTAGAATTGCCCCCACCCTTCATCCGGCTCCCAGCTTCTCACAACAGAAATGCATTTATTGTGGAAGTAATAACTGTGGTGGTTGGAATGAGAATGGCCCCCATAGGCTCATATAATTGAAGGTTTAGGGAGTGGCATTAGGTGGTGTGGCCTTGCTGGAGGAAGTGTGTCACTGGGGGGTGGGCTTTGGATTTTCAAAAGCCCAAGCCAGTCTGGGTGTCTCTTCCTGCTGCCTGCTCATTACTCTTGGCTCCTTCTCTAGCACAATGTCTGCCAAGCTTCCCACCCTGATGATAATGGACTAAAGCTCTGAAACTGCAAGCAAACACCAGTTAAATGCTAAGAGTTGCTATAATAATGCTGTCATCACAGCAATAGAACACTAAGACACACACAAAATATAAAGGCTAAATGTCAAAAGTTTTGGAAAACTACACAATTTATTTGTAACTTTCATGCCTGGAAAATTTCATTCATATGTATACTTATATGCTACAATATCTTTTTTTTTTTTCCCCCGGAGCTGAGGGCCAAACCCAGGGTCTTGTGCTTGCTAGCCAAGCGCTCTACCACTGAGCTAAATCCCCAACCCCAATATATGCTGCAATATTCTATGACAGTTTTTTTGTTATACTATTGCTTTGTGTGGTCCTGCGCTACAGCATGTGTGTGGAGGTCAAAGGACAATTTAGGAGAGTTGATTCCCTCCTTCCACCATGTAGATCTAACCACCCAGGGGTTAGATCATAAGGCTAGTGAAGTGCCTTAACCTGTGGTGGTGGTTTGAATGAGAATGACCCCCAGAGGCTCCTAAGATTGAGTACTTGGTCCCAAGTTGGTGTTGGGAAGGGTTAGGCTGTGTGGCCTTGTTGGAGGAGGTGTCACTGCCTGAGGGTGAGTTTCAAAAGCATAATGTGCCCTCTCTGCCTCCTGCTTGTGAGATGTGAGCACCCAGCTGCTGCTCCAGCCACCTGCTGCCATGCCATCCCTCCACCATCATGGACTCTAACCTTCTGAAAACAACATCAATTAAATGCTTTCTTTTCTAAGTTGCTTTGGCCATAGTGTTGTGTCACAATAGAAAAAAAAAAAAAACTAAGATACACTATAGGCCATCTCTCCAGCCCCTCATTTTTTGTTAAAATAGCAATTTACATGTGTCCACGTAAATCTATTTCATTTTTTTCATTGTATTTATTTATAAATTTGTTATGATATACAAGAGGCTCCAGGATAACACTCCATTCTAACTATAGGTGGCAAAGATGTTACAGTAGGGAACCCAGATGTTTAACAGGCTCCAAGATAACACTCCATTCTAACTATAGATGGCAAAGATGTTCCAGTAGGGAACCCAGATGTTTAACAGGCTCCAGGATAACACTCCATTCTAACTATAAGTGGCAAAGATGTTCCAGTAGGGAACCCAGATGTTTAACAGGCTCCAAGATAACACTCCATTCTAACTATAGATGGCAAAGATGTTATAGTAGGGAATCCAGATGTTTAACAGGCTCCAGGATAACACTCCATTCTAACTACAGATGGCAAAGATGTTATAATAGGGAATCCAGATCACATGGCAGGCAGTCTCTGGTTGGTCAAGGACACAGCCAAGCATGGTGACACACACCTTTAATCCCAGTACCAACCATAGATACCTAGAGGTCTGTGTAGACAGGCAGTGACAAGGAAGTCATGTGGCTGGGTTTAGAGCCAATTAGAAGGCAGAACAGGAAAGAATAAAAACATAAGTCAGACAGAAGGTCTCTCCGGGGAAGCTACTGCTGCTGGTAAGCTAAAGCTAGGTGGCTATTGCTCTGATCTCTTTGGTTTAACTCTGTATTTGGCTCTGTGTTTCTTATTTAATAAGACTGTTTAGAAATTCATCTACAGAAAAGGCCTTGAGGCACATCTGTGAGGAATTAACCAAATTAAGGCTAGACTGTCATCTTGTGATGGTTTATCTTGATCAGGTTAATTGATGTGAGAAGAATCATCTTAACCGGGCAAGACCAATCTCTGTTTGGGGATTCCAAACTATAAAATGGACAGTGATCTGATCTCTCTGCTTCTTGATCTGGATACAGTATGACCAGCTGCTTCAAGTTCCTAAGTCCCTGACTTCCCAGGCCTGACTATACCCTGGAATGAGAAGCCAAAATAAACACTTCCACTGCTTTCGACGGGTGACAGAAGAGCTGAGTCTAAGAGTGAAAAGAGCCGGAAGAGAGAAATTGCAGGCCTTGATCACCAGGAGAATTAGTTATTAAGGTCACAATGTGAGAACCTGGGCCAAGAGTGCTGGTATATTTATACTTTACAGACTAAGGAATCTTGACTTCTAGGCCTACACAAGAGCCCTGACACTGCTGGTAAGGGGTAAGGAATTACCCAGGCCTGCTGTAAGCTGTGATGCCAGCTGCAGCCAGAAACTGAGGAATCCCCACTTCCTACAGCTCAGCAGCAGAAACTGCCTGACTGGAAACTACTAGGACTGAACAGACATTTCTCCAAAGAAGGAATAAAGGACTAAATTAAAATGAAAACATGCTCAGTACTGAAACACTCAGCATTGCATAGGAAGACACAAACAAAACTGTAAGACATTATTTCACAGTGCTTATGATGGACAGTATATAATGATTGACATACGTGTGTGTGTATGTGTCTTCCACACAAGATCTCTAGCACATTGAGTCAAAGTCCCCGAGGCCCTCATGGGGCTGCTAGCACTCTTCAGATGACAGAACCCCATATGCTGCTGCCAAGTACAGGGGAAAAAAGCTGCCAGAGCCCATTAAGAGCTTCTTGAGCTGGGGAGATGGGTCAATGGTGGAGTGCCTGAAGTTCCCAGAACTCATGTCAAGCAGCTCTCATGTGAAACTCCAGCTCCAGGGCACCCCACACCCCTCACTTCCTGGCACTTGCGCTCATGTACACATAGCCACACACAGACAGGCACCCATAATTTAAAATGAAAATTTTTTTGATATCTCATCTACTCAAAATGTGTATCTGAGTACAGCAAAAGAGCTTTACCAGCTGCTTGGTGAAAATGAGAATAATGCTTGTAATTTTGTTTTCCCTTCTTGCTTTCCATAGCAGCTAGCTGTACTAATTTACATCCTAACACAACACAGGGATCAAGGGATATAATGTTTCTACACTGTCAGGAACATCTGTTTTGTTTCTCTCTCTCTCTCTCTCTCTCTCTCTCTCTCTCTCTCTCTCTCTCTCTCTCTCTCACACACACACACACACACACACACACACACACACA